CCCTCCTCCTCCTCCTCCTTCAGAGAGCCACTCGCTGACCGCCGGTCGCCTCCACCGGAGTCACAGCATACGGACCACCGGCCACATGCGACCTCACACCGGGTCCCTGCTCTTTGTGAAACCGCAGCAGAAAGCTCATTTCCCGCATCTTATCTTTGAGTACTACTGATGGGAACCTCGGTGCCTTCTCCATCTCGGTGTGCGCACTGTGCTCCTCTCCAGCCGAACAGCCGATAGTAACAGGAGGCTGCAGGAGCGCTCAGTCGGACCAGGAGGACAACACCATGAAGTTGTCGGTCCTCCTCCTCCTCCTCTTCCTCTTGTCGGTGTCCTGCCCGCTGTCCCTCGCCGACATCCCCGGTAAGAAAACTGTGATGTGTTTTTTATGTTCTAAATATTGTTGAGTATCCATTACAGTGTCGTTCCTATTGATCACCATGTGGTGCAACATTAATGTCTGATTAAGACTGAAATCAGCTCCTCATAACCTCTAATGACCTCTTCACACAGAAAGTATAGCTTACCCTTCACTGCTTTATAAAAGCTGTTACGTTACTGAAATGTGTTACAGAAGTCGTGTTTATTGCGTCACTTGTATCTCATAATTATGTTATTCTATAGTAGAAACTAACGCCATCACAAGAACACCCTTTTCTGGATTTTTAATTGTAATGACAATAATGCAATAGAAAAAACAATTTGGAACAAACTAAAGTAATCAGAGCTATTTCACCACCCTCCACTGCACTCCTGTATCAACCAGATGAGATTATGAGCAGCACATCATTCCAGCTCTGTTTGTCCTGCAGTCCATGGGTCAGGGACACAGACAGGAACACAGGAGGTGTCCGATGTCAGTGCAGCTCTCACCTCTCACTGAGAGTCCTTGAAAGCACAGACAGAGGTGATCTAACGAAATTAAATGCCCTGTAACTGATTACTGAAGGTGGTTTTATATTTGCTTGGACTTAACATTTATTCACCCATGAGTCCAGACAGATGAAAAGCCAGAGGAGAAACCAGCAGAAGGTTAAAGGTCCACACTCTTCCTCACCACACACAGTAGCTCTTGCACTTGACATCCCCTTTGTGTGACATTACAGCTGTCTCTTGTCAATATTACTGTCTCTGACCCCCCCCCAGAGACACCATATAGCCTCAGGCAGACTGATGCGCTGACTGCAGCTTCTGGACACAGTTATATATTATCTTTCCCCTCTCCCTCCATTTGTAACTTGGAGCGGCATCATTCACTCCCCATCCTCTCTTGTGGTTAGATGCATCTACACAGCTGGAGGACTGGAATTGTGACTGCTGTGGGGGAGGGCATATAGCTTTTTGTGGATTTGGAGGGAAACAAGTTGTTTTATACACTTTTTCTTTCCTCCTTTTATTCTCTTTGTGGTTTAGATATTCTGTTGAGTCACATAATGCAACACAAGTGAACTAATTAACTAGTTAAAATAATGTGTTTCCACCAGAAATTTGACCAGAAATCCACAAGATAAATCCTTTCCTATTGCATTTTGACGCCACTTTGGCACTGTTTCAGTTTATACATTTTTATAAATGTATAAATGTAAATTTATACATTTTATTTGTGCTGTCTAGCCAAACTTTTAATTAATGAGAAGACACCAAACTGCACAGTTACTTACTCAGATAAGATCCCCATGAAAGGCACAATGTGGCATCCTGTGTGTAACCATGTTTCAGGGATATTGTCCATGGTGCTGAAAAATATTTTCAAACTTTTGACCACCATAGGGCACTTAATTAGGACAACAAAATTAAAAGCAAATTTGAATGTCCCAGTGCTGCTGCCAACCCAAGTTTACTCTTAGACTTTACAAAAGTAGCCAAAAAAATAACTTAAATGACAGTAGCATCAGTCTTAAATAAATAAAAAATACATGTTCTCCACAGCAGTATTTAGAAGGTAATTAGTTGTGTCTATTTTCCACCCGTCTACTGAAATGTCAGAAGATTTTTGCATTTTTTCACATTTATTATTTATTGGGATTATTATTATTATATACAAGCTTTAATCTCTTCTATCAGAGCAGTTAATGTTACAACAAGCATTGTAACGAACAGCTGTTAATTTACATTCTTCCTCTGTGTTCCAGCTCCAAGTGAGTTTGTGTCCTTGGCGGAGATGGAGGACGCACTGCTGAGAAACCTTTTCCAAGGCTACCAGCGCTGGGTCAGGCCCATCCAGCACGCCAACGACACTATTAAAGTACGCTTCGGACTCAAGATCTCGCAGCTGGTTGATGTGGTGAGAACACACCTACAATCACAAATGGTCTTCATTTATTCCCAACCCCTTGCTTTAATAATAACTTAACCTTTACCTTTACCTTAATTAAAACTAAATCCAAACCACTGGGATCGGTAGTGGATCCATTACTATAAGCATAGGCACAGCTTCAGTGACCAGATGTAGAACATAAGTGTGACATGTACAGCATGGAAAATATATTTTTATTGTTTCTAAAGGTACTTAAGTGGAAATGTAGCTGTACGTTAAGGAGTTAAACTTATCCTGTATTTAGCCTAATTATGACTCAGATCTTGTAGGATACGGAGGATCTTCTAACTGTCAACAAGTCACATGAAAGACCCAAACCAACAATGAATTGATTTACAAACCAGCATCGTCTGTGTAGTCAAAACCCAATATCGCTCATTCATCTGACCATAGACCTCCATTTTTGTCTGAAAACTGGTAAATATACATCAGGGAACCCCACTGTTGCACTTGGGCAATTTCCTTCATGGCCATGATCATGAACACTGTAGTGTAATTTGGAGTCAATCTCAAATGCTATCCTGCTGTCATATATAACAAATCTGCAGAATCCCAAACAAATGAACAATTTGCTCCTGTTTGGCTTAAGTTTGCTAAAAACTACTGGTCTCAGGAACTCTTTCAGGAAATTATTTAGCCAGTAATTTTAAATACTTAAATAAAAAGCTAATAAATTGTATATATGTATATATTCATGACTCTTTTTTTTATGAGGAATCTCTTTTCATTAGGAATCAGTGGGCCACAGTTTGATTAAGCAGAGCAGCGTCACTGTCGTCCATGGTGCTGAAACCAAACAGGCCACTGGCAGCTTCGCAGTGTGGAGCTTTCCGTGGTCCTGAAATAGATCTGGAACACTCTCTTCATATCTGCAACCACATAGTCTCTCTCTGGAGTGTTCCTTTAATATTTCAGAGGCTGGCTGTGATAGGTTGAGATGGTTTAGGTGTTCAAGAGGAGGAAAAAGAGTCTTCTCGGCTTGAAATATTAATCTCAACCAGTTTAGATTTAACTCTTCAACCTAACACATGTGCTGGGTAGAGACAATCAGTGTTGAATTAAACACAACCCCTCTCATGGGTCTGCAGAGAAGAAAGATTTGGGTTGATGATCAGTTGGTTTGTGGGAAGGAGAGCAGGAAAGAGACACATCCGATTGGCTAAGCTATGGGTGTCCCTTGAGTCTGTCAAGGGATGGCTGCATGGCTCTGTATTAGATTATGGTTCACCTCTGCTCTATGTGATCACAAAAACATCCAACTCAGTTTGACAGCTGAGGCCTGGTCTGGATACAATGAACAGCTACATGTTTGTTCATCTATCAGCCAGGTTTATTTATCTCAAGTCTTTTGCTCTCATTCTTCCCCCCTTATTTTTCAAACTTGCCTCCAGTGATGTGGAAATAAACCTGTGTTGACCACTCTCCATCTCTCTATTCCTGTCTGCCTCTGTCTACCTCTTGCTGCATTGGTTCACTGCACCCACCTCTGGTTTCATGTTTCTTTGTCTTGTTTGCCAGGGAAGTGGCAGAGACAGGTAAATGAGATTCTGTTTGAGTTCATGGAAAAGGAAAAAATGATTTAGGTTGCTTTCAACCAAGCTTCTCGTCTTCTAATCAAATCTAACATTGTGATTGAAGCACCCAGATCCTAAATAATTTGTGCTATAAACACATCACATCAATACAACCCTAAGCATGCAGTAGATTTTATTGCTTTTTCTTAGAAAAGATAAATAATATTGTTGATTTGGATTATCTTAAACTAACAGTATCTGCACATTTGACATCTACAGTTGATCCTGCAAAATATCTGTTGAATTCTATTTACAAATTTGAGGCTGAAATTAGCAGCCAGTTTTAATCCTGCATTTCATATTAAGACTTGACAATAATGTTGGGAGTGATTTCAATCGAGTGTTTTGAATTTTGATGATGTGACTACCGTGTGTTTGAATTTTGATCATGAAATGTGCCAAGAACCACTGTTTTCTTGCTTCTGGATCATTTTGCCCCTTTTTGAAATATTACTTGTTTGTCTGTTGTCTTTGTCTGTTTTAGGATGAGAAGAACCAGCTAATGACAACTAACGTTTGGTTGTGTCAGGTGAGCAAGACACAGAAACGCTAAATATATAATGTGAATACAATCAATCTTACCATTTGTATACACAGGCCAATAAGAAGACACAAGCTAATATTTATACTGCAATAGTCTGTTGAGAAGAAACATGATAACATTGCCAATACTGGCTTATCGCATCTGTATCAGTATCGTATCTGGTATATTATGCACTTTACAATAAGCAGCATAGCTTAAGAGAGAAGCAGCAGCTCTCAGCAATGTCAGCTGGAATTGGACAATGTATATGTAAAATTATGTAACATGTTAAAGAATATTTAACTAAATATAAAACAGCCTTTTGAGTGCCTTTGCATAGTTATATCGGTGCAAAATACACATGGAGCTCTATTTTCATTCCTCAAAAATTCACAATATTTAGATATCGGTCATTTTTTCCCCCTCTAAAATCGGAATCAGTCTCAAAAATCCAGTATCAATCAGGCTCTTATATGGATTAGCGAGTTTACAAATGTAAATACTTTTTGAGAATTTGAGGCATAGATTCACATCAAATTTTAATTTTAGTATCCCTGCTGACTTTGTATAACAGGTTACATCAATAAAAGGGACAGAATGAACCCTGTTGGATATGATCTAACTCCAGGGGCAGAGAACTTATTTTAAGTTTGTGTTTCACCAATTTTGTCTAATGATACTGCTCTTCTTCTGTGTCCTGTGTTTATGTTGACCAGGAGTGGATCGATTACAAGCTACGATGGAATCCAGAGAAATACGGAGGAATCACTTCTATCAGAGTTCCTTCTGAAAATATCTGGCTCCCAGACATCGTCCTCTATGAGAAGTAAGACTGCTCTGATATGCCAGGAACCAACAATTACCTTCATGTGAAACTTAAATAACTAAGAAAACTCTGCTAGTATGAAAAGTACAGTAACAAAAACTGAATGTTTTTTATTTTATTTGTGCTCTGTGTTTTTTCAGTGCTGATGGGCGGTTTGAGGGCTCCCTGATGACCAAAGCCATTGTCAGGTACAATGGTGCCATCACCTGGACGCCACCTGCGAGTTACAAATCCGCCTGCACCATGGACGTCACCTTCTTCCCCTTTGATCGCCAGAACTGCACCATGAAGTTTGGCTCCTGGACATACGATGGCAACATGGTGGACTTGATTCTGATAGATAAACAAGTAGATCGGAAGGACTTCTTCGACAATGGAGAGTGGGAGATCCTCAGTGCCACTGGTGCCAGAGGGAACAGGAAGGACGGCATGTACTCGTACCCGTTCATCACGTACTCCTTCATTCTGAAGAGGTTGCCATTGTTCTACACCCTCTTCCTCATCATCCCTTGTTTGGGTTTGTCCTTCCTGACTGTGCTGGTGTTTTACCTTCCCTCAGATGAAGGAGAGAAGCTGTCACTCTCTACCTCTGTCCTAGTGTCACTCACTGTGTTCCTCCTGGTCATAGAAGAAATCATCCCCTCCTCCTCCAAGGTGATCCCGCTCATTGGAGAGTACTTGCTGTTCATCATGATCTTTGTCACACTCTCAATCATCGTCACCGTCTTTGTCATCAACGTGCACCATCGCTCTTCAGCCACCTATCACCCCATGTCGCCGTGGGTTCGTAATCTCTTCCTGCAGAAACTGCCGAGGTTGCTCTGCATGCGTGGGCACACCGACCGCTACCACTACCCAGAGCTGGCTCCTGAAAGCCCTGAGCTGAAGCCTCGCTCTGGAGCTCGGAGAGGAGCCCACAGGGCAAACAGCGGGGCCCATGGACAGACAACTTCTGAGGGCAAGGAGGACGAGGTCTGGGAGACCATGTTGGATAAGGCTATCTACTCAGTGCGCTACATCAGCAGACATATCCGCAAGGAACACTTTATCCGTGAGGTGAGTTTAGCTGGATTATATTGATCAAGACAGATATAATTAATCATTGGAGTAGTTTAATGTTTATACATGTTTTTATCAAACCATCTCCCATTTCTTCTATTTTCCAGGTGGTACAAGACTGGAAGTTTGTGGCCCAGGTCCTAGACAGGATCTTCCTGTGGGCTTTTCTCACCGTCTCAGTACTGGGCACTATCCTCATCTTCACTCCTGCTCTGCGGAAATTTATGAAAGTCCTACCTCCAGCTGGAAGTGAGGATCCACCTTCAAACTAGTAGCAATAACACACCCTTTCACAGGCAACTGATTATCCACCTTCAAGAATCCATAAAACATTTGTTACCACAGAGCAGGAGGAAGTCGCTACAGGTGCTTTTTAAAGGAGAACTTTGGTTAGGCTTCTAGATCCGCTCAATGTGTGTATCTTAGTAAAAATTGGTGCAACCTGTGTTAAATGATGAAGTCATAAAACTGCAGATTCTACACCTAGTGGCTTTAAGTAGCATGCAGCTATCAGTTTACTAGATTACACATGCTGGTAATTTTAAAGATGTATTTAAGATAAAATTAAATAAAGGATTAAAACAAACCCACCCAACTTTATTCAGCTGAAAATTAAACTATAAAATGTTTTATGACTGGTTTGATTTATGTACTTGGCTGCCTGATAATTGTTTTTCACCTGGCTGCCACAAATTTTCTAGGATAGTACAGTTTAAAAAAACATAACAATTTAAAATTCCTGATGTCAAGCTATTACTTTAACTATATGTTCTTGTTATACATAACTGTCACAATAATCAGAGTGAGAAATAGTTGTTCTTATCACATACCTGAAGCACAAAATACCTCTTACTTCAACTATATTACGTTAAGCATATGTTAGGGGAATAAAGTAATTAAATGATTGGTCAGAACTCTGAACTGACTTTCTGTTAAATACTACCCTCCTCAAATACAAAAGTTGTTAGATTTTGGTCAGTGCAGTTAGTAAAACCATTTCAAGCAACATAAACTGTGCAATAAATAAATGACTGAATAAAAGACTTAATGGACATTACTTGACATTTTTCTTGAGCTACCAATCCTCAAAAGTACAGTATTTGTATTGTTCAGATGTACTTTATCCCACTAATAAAGTTGTTTTAAATACATGATGCTTTATTTGTCATATGTAACATTATCTCTGCTCCATTTAATGAAAATTGCATACGATTATACACAATAGATAGACAGATAACTAAGGCCCAATAAAAGAAAAATATTAAAAATATACAGATGAAATGGGTGAAGTTACAGCACCATCTAGTGGTAAACCAGAGAGAC